TACTGAGCCCTGGGGAACACCACTTGTGACCGGCCGCCAAGTGGATTTAAGTCCATTCACCACAACTCTTTGGGCCCAGCCATCCAGCAAGTTTTTTACCCAGCAAAGAGTACTCCTGTCCAAGCCATGAGCAACCAGTTTCTCCAGGAGAATGCTGTGGGAAATGGTGTCAAAGGCTTTACTAAAGTCTAGGTAGACAACATCTGCAGCCTTTCCCTCATCCGCTAAGCGGGTCACCTTGTCATAGAAGGAGATCAGGTTAGTCAAGCAGGACCTGCCTTTCATAAACCCATGCTGACTGGGCCTGATCACCTGGTTGTCCTGTATGTGCCACGTAATGGCACTCAAGATGATCTGCTCCGTAACCTTCCCTAGCACCGAGGTCAATGCATCCATGCATCCGGCTAATGCATCTTCCCACCAACACACTTCACTCTGCTGCTGCCTCCCATCAACGGTGATTTCCTTGCACATCCTGGCCTTGCTCCTCCAGCAAAACAGCTTGCTCCTCCTCCTGGTCTTCTCTTAACCTTGCTCCTCTCCAGCTCCAAAATGGTGATGGCTCAGTGACAACAAGAAGGAAAAAAAAATCTCATTGGGGACATTGATAAAAGGAGCTTTCACTGGTGCAACCCAAGTCACATTGAGAACATGAGCTGAACTCAGTGCAAACACCCAAATGAATATTGTGGTGGCACCAGCTGATGTTAAGCCGATGTGTTTCTTCCCTGGCACCTCAGAGCCGGAGCCTCCACAGCCGAGCACATGGTGGTCGCTGCTTCAGTTGCTGCTGGCGCTTTCCTTCCTGGCAGGCTGTGAAAATTAGTGGAGTCTTATTTTATTTCTCTTAATGGTGAACTGGCTGCTCCTGGCCCAGCTGCCCGCAGGCAGCAGTACTGCAGGCTGAGCACTGCTCCACTGTCTTTCCTCTGACAGCCTCAGCTGTGTTCTGCCAAAATGTGTTTCCAGCGCAATGAAAGCATCTGCAGGAAGTTTCTGCTCTCCTAGAAATAACAATCATCAGGGAGAAGGTAGTTGTTTTTGGAGGGCTCTTTTGCATTTTCCTTTCTTCTATTTTTTCCCAAGAAAAGGATACCTTGAGGGGGGAAAGGGAAGGTTCCTGATCGTGTTTTCATGATGGTGCTTTTATGACAGTGCCATGAGCACAAAGGCAAAGGCTTTGCTTGAAGTGGGTGCTGCTACCTCCCTCTGCAGCAGCAAGCCCTCCTTGTTTGAAAGATTTTTTTAAAGCCATGCGATTTCTCATGCATAGGAAACCTGTCATTGGCCTGAGATAAGGTCACGACCAGCAACATCTGTCTGTGTGCCAGGATATTTTTGAAGCTAAAAAAAATTTACATTTTGAGGAGGGAAAGAAGAAAGCCTTTTATTGCTGTGTTGATTTTAAAATAAAGGCAGCTCTTTGAATTTGCTGCAGGATTTAAAATGTTCACCTAAGTCCCAGGGAGATGAATTAATGGCCAGAGAACAAGAGAAGCTATCAGAGTGGCATGATTACATGTATTTACCACATGGCTGTCATTTCTCCAGGGGTGATCTGGGGGAGAGAGAGACCGTACAAATGTAGAGCAAAAATTAGGTTATTTGAATCCCATTGGGTAGAAAGGAAAATTGCAGGCTGCTTTCCCCAAGAAAGTGTTTTTAACTCTTCTGCAGGTGTTTTGCCTTCGCTGCGGTCCGTAAA